CGTTCTCCTTTTCCCCCTCGCGATTCCATGCTCTTCCCGCTCGTTCCCTTCCCCTCGGTCTTCTTATCTGCCGCCCCTCTTTTCCTCGAGTCAGCATTCGCGGTAACAGCCCCTTTCCATTTTCCCTCCGACCTTCTGCCGCTTCCCTTTCTTCGCCCCGTCCCGGGGGACGTTTCGTCGATCCCGACCGACTCCTTTTTACTCGGTGACCCTCCGCTAATGCACTTGTGCAACCCTGCAACATAAATCCGCGCGAGCGTTTACGGCGGTTCTTTCTTCTTCTTCTTCCTTTTTTTTCATTTTTCACCCCCCTTCCCTTCCGTCTTCTCGTTCCACCGTTGACGCAACCCCCGGCCACGTGTCCCCGGATAATACCGGTTTAATTGGAGCGAACGCGCGGCACGATTTTTCTCCTGCCTAAACACGCTGAAAGATAAGTGCGAGGATTAAGGATGCCGTTCGAGTTGGAAGCGCAATTAGGGGATGCAAAGTGGCGTAATGCACGGATTGCGTGCATCTGCATATACATTGATTTCGGTTGTTCGCCGGAAGCTTCCGTTTATCCTTTCGCGAACGCAAAATAGAGACCATTTCTTTTGAAATTCTTCAATTTCGAACGGTATTTTCATCCCTTGTGCGAGAAGATCTTCAATTGAAATGAAACTTGAACTTCTATTGAAACCGAGACTCGCTTATTTAACACTAATACTAACTTGACCATTCTTGTTATCCTTCTCTTGCGATTATTAATAAGATAACAGATGCTCCTCTTAGAAATTATTAAAGAAATTGATCACGATACGCAAACCGCAGGGTAAATCAATTAAAATCTCAACAGACCCACCCTTGGAGTTTCTATAGAGTTCCAAAAAGTCGATTCAACTGCTCGCTAGTTGAAGAAACCACGTGGCAAATATTTGTTCCGCTTCCGTGCAATATGAAAACCTTCTCTAAATAAACCTGCATCAATTGAGCGATGTCCCCGGTGATACGCCTCCCTTCAGTCCCCAGTTTCCACAGAGGATCGGAAAGGGAGAAGGAAACAGGGAAAACGCGAACAGCAGCGGCAGCCCGGGAGCGTCGACACAGGTCTGAGCCGCGGAAAAATCTCCTGGCACCGTGTATTTTCATCAGACGCGCGTTTCCCGCCGCAATGTAATTCCCGCCGCGGAGAATCGCTGACGACCGAGCATTATTCCCCGACCCGGGGATTGTTTTCCTTGTCCTCGAGGACTTGGACGTTCCGCAGAAGCGGAATCGCTCTCGGCGACCCGATTTTTCAGTTCGAATTCAATCGTTCCTCGACTTCCGCGATATTGTCGATCGTTATCCTATTCCGCTTTTTCCACTCATACTCCCCGGTACCTTCGTATCAACCCTTTGCACTCGGAAGTATTTCGTTGGAAATACCTAACATTTCTAACTAGACACAAAGCTTTTTTATCCCAATATTCCACACGTCAATGCACTATACATAGTTCAAAGTTGAATATCAAATTTTATAGTTTTACTACATCAAATCAAGTGACTGAGAGTCACCTCTCGAGTGCAAAGGGTTAATAGGATCTCCCGGTTTGCTTCTATGCTCGAAATATCCAGCAAGCGAAATTAAATTCTGAATGAATTTTCATCTAATTCCCTTATTTCGCTGCGATGCAATTCGATCGGAGATAGTAGCTTTTCACACTGCAAATTAACATTATCGGATTCTTTTGCAGTTATGGAAGATTTAAATTATAAAGAAATACATTAAATATTCAAAGTACAATGCTTTTTATGTTTCAAACACGTCCCTTTGATTTATCTTTAGGTACAGTCTATTTAACGATTCGAAAAAACGTTCTCGTCGTTTCTCTTGAAATGCCTCGGTTTTTCATCGTCGACGACGATTCACGTCCAGAAACGGACATCCCCGACGCGTCGTCTCGCCAGCTTCTCCCCGCCACCCGAATCCTCAATTACACGCGTCAATTAGTTCCATCAGGGTCGTCTTCGCGGTGTCTGCGATTGTTCTGCGGCGAGGACAATACACAGCAGAACACAATAACTCGGATCGATTCGATTCCGTCCTTCATCCCCCCGGCGGCAGCCCCTCCAGGGACGAGCCGCGAACGGGCGCAGTTATTGCCACCCTTCGAGCGAGGCGAGCTTCCGTCGGGGCTCGCTTTAATCCGCCTCTCTCCGCGCTGATCCTCTCGATTTCTTTCAGCGTCCGCCGCGATTAGGGGGTTTCCTTGCGATGCTCCGTTTTCCTCCGCCGCTCGCCGGCGAATTAAGAACATTCGAACCGGATAATTGCGTTTTTGAGCATCGGCGTTTATCGCGTGCATCCCGGGAAGCCTAGTTTCGAGCGATTTCGATTTGTTTATTGTGATCTCCCGTTGTTTCTCGAAACTTTTCGGACGAAAGCTCTTCCGAAAACAGAGAGAGATCTCTGAAGAAAGTATCTGTTGTAAATTTCTACTTTTCCGACCGTTTAGATCTGTTTCTCGTTTACGATGATTCTCAACCCCTTTGTACTCGCGAGAACGATTAAACTTCTAGTTAAATACTTTAAGACATGACCTAGTTGCGAGTCGCTCATAAACCACTGCGGTTAAGTGCATTCTTTAATATTTTCCGACATTAATAAATCAACTATATAAACCGGCAATTTCAAAGACGAATGTATCGAAAAACCTTAGTCCCCTCGACTGTTATCTCCGCGAAAGCTGTCTCTCTGATTTATTCATTTGATTCTCCGAAAATCCTCAGCCTGTTTGTTCTTATAGAAAACGATTAGTCTGTCCGGGGATCCTTAGGAAAAATCGCCGTTCATTTTTGTCAGGCCTTGGCTCCTCCGACCC